AATTGCGTAAGCTGAACCTGAATGTGGTGTTGGTTATTGTTTTTACTGTCATTTCAGTCCTCTTCAATTAGGACACGAACAAGATTAATTTTTTCCTTGCAAATTGATGTGAATGATCTGCTGTTGTAGGCATCATCTTCAATATCATCTTGTCCCTTTTTTTTTTTAAATAGAATATTGAGACAGAGTCTCACTATGTCACCCTTGGTTGAGTGCTATGACGTCACAGCTCACAGCAACCTCAAACTCTTGGGCTGAAGTGAGTCTCTTGCTCAGTCTCCCAAGTAGCTGGGACCACAGTGGGCTATTTTTTGTTGCAGTTGTCGTTGTTTTTTAGCTGGCCTGGGCCAGGTTTGAACCCACAAGCCTCAGTGTATGTGGCTGGCGCCATAACCATTGTACGATGGGCACCGAGCCAATCTTGTCCCTGCTTAAAATGAATTGTCCATTTGTGAACTGCTGATTGGCTTATGAGATTGTCCCCATAAAGTTTTCATAAAGCATTGATAATTTCACTTTTATTCTACTCAAATGTCATCATAACTTTAACATTTATTCTTGTTTCAATTTTAGCAGAATTCATGTTGCTCTGATAGGGGCTGTTTTCAAACTGATGTCTTATTCTTCCTAGTGCCTCAAACTAGATCCTGGTTGGTGGCACCTGGGGCTCAAGGAGTAGGCGCCAGCCCCATATATCGGAGGTGGTAGGTTCAAACCCAGCCCCGGCCAAAAACTGCAAAAAAATAAAAAAAAAAAAACAAACTAGATCCCGGTTAGATATATTATAACAAATTAATATGCGTTTATTTGAGGACCAAAAAAATTTTAAATCCATGCATATTTTTTTCATAATACTTGTTTTCCATGAAGTCTTGGAAGAACCCTTATATACAGATCTAGGAAACCTCTTAGCAGAAACTTTTTTTTTTGAGACAGAGCCTCAAGCTGTCCCCCTGGGTAGAGTGCCGTGCTATTACAGCTCACAGCAACCTCCAACTCCTGGGCTCAAGCGAGTCTCCTGCCTCCGCCTCCCAAGTAGCTGGGACCACAGGCGCCCGCCACAACGCCCAGCCATTTTTTGGTTGCAACCGTCATTGTTGTTTGGCGGGTCCGGGCTGGGGATTCGAACCCGCCACCTTAGGTGTACATGGCTGGCGCCTTAGCCGGTTGAGCTATAGGCGCCGAGCCCTCTCAGCAGAAACTTGAGGGAATGAAGCCATAAGCTAACTAGAGAAGTAGTTCCCAGACAGAGGCTACAGCAAGCACAAAACCTCTTAATTTGGAGAGTGCTTGGGGTATTTGAGGACTATGAAGGATTCTAGAGGCCATTGTGGCTGGAGTGACATGAGCAAAGCAGTGTATTCAAAGTGACATGGTCAGAATGCAAAGGGCTTTTAGGTCCTATGGGACAGGCTTGGTTCCAGATACCGTGCATACAGAGGGAGTAAGACCCAGTCTCTACTACCAGACTTACCTTCTAGTAGAGGAGACAAATCATAAACAGTGTCAATAAACAAAAATGAACTGGGTTTAAGAGAATTAACATAGGTTCGCAGCCTAGGCCAATTTACAGTGTACACTGGATTACCTGACTGACACTATAAAAATCAACAGTACCCCACAGCTCTAATTGTCATAGTAATCACCTTTTGTTTGTTCTGAGCTAAGTTGGAGTTGTGTTTTTGTTGTTGTTGTTGTTTTGAGACAATCTCACTGTGTCCACCTGGGGTTGAGTGCCATGGCATCATCATAGCTCACAACAACCTCATACTCTTGGGCTCAAGTGATCCTCATGTCTCAGTTTCTCAAGTAGCTGGGACTACAGGTGCCTGCCACAGTGCTCAGCTAATATTTTCTATTTTGGTAGAGGCGAGGTCTCACTCTTGCTCAGGCTGGTCTCAAACTCCTGAGCTCCCCATCACCACCTTGACCTCCCAGAGTGCTAGGATTACAGGCATGAACCACTGCACCTGGGCCAGGTTAGAATGATTTGGATATTCCAAAAGATGGCTGTTTTATCTGAATAAGTAATTTATAAACTATGAGTGATTTTTCTTGTTTATGGTAAAAATAAAAAAAGGAAAGAGAAAAAAGAATAGTCTAAAATAAAGCCTCCTTCTGCTTCCTTCATGAGGTTCATAGTACCATTTCCCACATCAGCCTCTCTGAGGAAACAGTGTCCTAATTAGGGATTCTCGAATCTTTACCCTGTTAAAATTTGCTGAAGATCCCAAAGAATTTTTGTTTATGTGGGTTACATCTGTCAATATTTACTCTATAGAAATTAAAACACTAGCCAGATGTGGTGGCTCACACCTGTAATCCTGGCACTTGGGAGGCCGAGGCAGATGGATTGCCTGAGCTCACAGGTTCAAAACTAGCCTGAACCAGAGTAAGACCTCTTCTCTAAAAATAGCCAGGAGTTGTGGTGGGTGCCCGTAGTCCTAGCTACTCAGGAGGCTGAGGCAAGAGAATGGCTTGAGCCCACGAGTTTGAGGTTGCTGTGAGCTATGAGGCCACAGAGCACTCTACCAAGGGCAACAAAGTGAGGCTCTTGTCTCCAAAAGAAAAGAAATTAAAACTGAAAAATTAGAATATAGTTATTCATTTAAAAACAATAACAAACTCATTCCATGTTAGTATAAATAACATGTGTTTAATTAAAAACAACTAATTTTCAAACCAAATAATGTATGATAGAGAGACATTGTAAACTTTTTGGCTGTCTGGCTTAATAAAAGACAATGCTTCTACTTCTGAATTCATTCTGTTGAGATATCACTTGGCATATAGTTTCTGGAAAATTCTATTGCACACTCTTGAGAAAATGAGAACAAAAAGAGAGAGATACTATATTAATATGTAATATTTTAGTATTATTACGAAAAAGTTTAGACTTCACAGACCTCCCTCAAGCGTCCTAACAACCCCAAGGGTTCATGGATCATACTTTGATAACTGCTTATCAAAAGTCCATGTCAACTTTTATGGGCAACAGATTTCCAGGGGGATATTGTGCTACAACCCTGGCATTTAAATCATTTTCTGGTCTCTCTGAAGCTAGGGGAAATGGAACAGAGCATAAATCATTCCCTTGCCTCTTTAAAAATCAGCTATTCACACAGTTGTGTTTTAAGTCATTGGGGTAGTTGATTAATGTGCTTTAAAAGGGAAAACGTGAATAGGTCTGCCAGTGAACTAGAATAGGGTATGAAATGGAACTGCTAAAAGACTTTGCTCCTGGGGTAACTGTAGAGTGGTGTGCCCTGCTGATAGTTTATACTTTCTTTGTTTGGGTGATCTATCTCTTTCTTTGGAGAGGCTGCTTCCTTTTGCTTCTATTTAGTGGTTTTGTAGAACGTAATTGGAATTCTAACTCTTCTTTTGTTGAAATTCTGTGAGTGCAGTGGGTGGGAGGATCATCTGAGCTCAGGAGTTCAAGACCAGCCTGAGCAAGAGCGAGACCCCCATCTCTACTAAAAATAGAAAACAAAACTAGCGGGATGTTGTGGTAAGTGCCTATAGTCCCAGCTACTTGAGAGGCTGAGGCAAGAGGATTGCTTAAACCCAAGAGTTTGAGGTTGTGAGCTATCATGCCAGGGTAGTCTACCCAGGGCAACAGAATGAGACTCTGTTTCCAAAAGAGAGAGAGAGAGAAATTCTGTGTGGAGCAAATGATATGGGTCCCAGAGTGAGGAATAAAGTTAACTCACAGAAGCAGAGAGTAGAATGGTGGTGAGTAGGAGTAGCAGATGAGATGGTGAGATGTTGGTCAAATAGCACAAGGATTCAGTTAGGAGGAAAAAGTTCTGGAGATCTTTGCACAGCATGGTGCCTATAGTTAATAATAATGTGTCGTGTAATTGAAAATTGCTAAGAGCGTAGATTTTAAATGTTTCACCACCAGGAAATAAAGGTGTTATTAATTACAGGCAGTCTCCAGGTTACAAATTAGATAGGTTCTGTGGGCTCATTCTAAAGTTAAATTTGTATGTAAGTTGAAACAGGTACATTTACCTATTATTAGCTATAGTAGTATCCATTTGTAAGTGTGATTCATAAGTCAGTTGGATGTTTGTATCTTGGGGACTGCTTTGTGTATACAATTTCACAATGTATGCATATAAGAAAATAGTACATTGTACACCATAAATATATACAGTGTACCAAAAATATGTACACATTTTAAGAAAGGAAAAAACTTAAAATTCTAGTACTCAAGTTACATTTGACTTCTGCAATTACAAGAGATACAAGGTACAAATACTGGATCACAAATTTTATTTGTATGCATTATTAAAATTTTAATAGTTTTTTCCTTTCTTAAAATGTGTACATTTGGGGGCACCCTCCATATATGCAATTTTTATCTGTCAACTAAAATAAATAAATGACACAATCACAACAATGAAAACCAGACCTGCAGTCTATCTCAGGCGATGTGAGCTATGTGTTTTTTTGTTTGTTTGTTTGTTTGTTTTTGAGACAGAGTATCATTACGTTGCCCTTGGTATAGTACTGTGGCATCACAGCTCACAGCAGCCTCAAACTCTTGGGTTTAAGAGATTCTCTTGCTTCAGCCTCCCAAGTAGCTAGGACTATAGGC